CTGCTGTATTTAAAATGATGCCCAACAAGGGCCTGCTGTCTAGCACAGGGAACTCTGCTCAGTGTCATGTGGCAGCCTGGACGGGAGGGGAGTTTGGGGGAGATGGATTCACATGGATGTACAGCTGAGTCTTTTCAATGGTCACCTGAAATGATCACAACATTGTCTGTTTACCAGCTATACCCCCAATACAAAACAAACAAACAGAAACCCAAAACAAAACAGAGTTTTGCTTTCTCCTTTGTAATGGTTAAGATACAGTCAGGACAGAGCTATCCTCATGAGAAAGCACAGGGTCTGTGGCCAAGCCTCAGGCTGCATACAGGACGCTAACCACAGGACTTCATGCGGAGGGTGCAGAAACAGAGGTGTCTGAATTCCAGGATGTGAGTTTCTTCCTTCCCCTTTGCAGGGGCTTCTGGAAACAGACACGTTACCCATGCAGGGCGTGTTCTCTTTTCTTTCCCCAGGGGCAAAGGCAACACTGGTCTGAATAATGCCTGCTGCACAAGCAGCCGCCCAGGCATTAGTCATGAGTGTTATTGGTAATAAGGGGTGGGCGAGAACAGTCAGCACTCCCTACCGCCGCACTCCAATAAAATGAAGCTTGTTCATCCCAGTCCACACACTTGAAACAGCGTGGAAGGGGACCGTTCTGTTTGCAAACTGGGGTGATTCTATGAAAAATACTCAGCCCTCTGAAGAGCAAAGAAAAAAACACACCCTCAAGTCTAGACAAGGATGGCTGGCTTTCTGACGGGCAATGTGATCTACTCCAATAACGTGATTTTCCAGCCAAAGATGTGTGGGGTTTTTTTTGTTTCTTTTTGTCGCTTTTTTTTAAAAAAACAATCATGGCATCTAAAGCTTAGAGCACTGTTCAATAAGTTTATAAGTTCTCTTGTTTTACAAGTTAATAGCTTCAAACAAGAACAATAATCAAGACTCTGAAAAAAAAATCACTTTTGAAAACTTACTGAATACTAAATATTGAATTACCACATGAGCCAACACAATAATTACTAAGCATATAAAAACATATGTCCATACAAACGGACAGTTCGTTAGCAGTTACTATTCACAACTATTCAGCCAAAAAGTAGAATCAATCCAAATATAGAAAAAAATATGGTACATCCATACAATGGGTTACTACTTGGTAATAAAAAGAAACTAAATACTGATCAATGTTACAGCATGGATGAACTTTGAAATTATACATTAAGTGAAAGAAATTAGTTACTGAAGGCCACATGTTCTGTAACTGCATTTGTATGAAGTTCTGGAAGAGGCAAATCCTTGGAGATGGAGAGGAGACTGGTGACTACTGACTGAGGTGGGTAGGGGAGAACTGCTAATGATTATGGGTTTCTTTCTGGTGTGATGCCCATGTTATAAGTTAGACAGTGGTGTTGGTTGCACCACTCTGTAAATATGTTAAAAAAAACCACTGCACTGTGCACTTTACCTGAATGAGTGAATTGTATGGTTATGTGAATTATGTCTCAATAGAGTTGTTATGAAAATCTAAAAAATCTTTTTTTTTAATCATTAAAAATGACACACTTCCTATTTCAGTCAGTATTGGGTTTCAAATTAAAATATCACCTTTGCTATCAGTTTCTATATAAAGAAAGAAGAGTCAGGTTTAAGAAGTGTCAATAGATCCCTTTTTGTGGTAATTCCCATCTTGAGACATGTTCAACCTCATGACAAATTGGAAAGTCTTGTGCTCACAGGGAAAAAAACCTTTTCATTACAATCTCCAAGGGATCCCTGCAGGGATCTAAAACATCCATTCTAAAACGATGCTGTGTAAAAGCTTCACCGCACCATGTCCACATTTGCATATTAGGGAACACGGGAGAAGGGGAAAAACCCTACTGTGAATTTAAAAAATCCCCCAGATAACGCCACAGAGCAGACACGCAGAGCAGGCTAAACACATTTTGTGCTCGGACAGACTCACCGCCTGGGTCTTCGGGCCTTGTTTCACCTCCGGCGTAGAAGTTCTATTTCCCAGAGCCGCCTCTTCAGAAACTGAACTCTCCCGGGTGTTACTCAGAAAATCCACTTCATCTTCAGCTTTTGTGTCGGGCATTTCTAGGGAGAGCAAGGTGGTTACAAAGTGCATCTGAAAAATTGATTCCCTGGCCTTTCTATTTACGCAACTTGCTCCAGGTTTCATGCATTTTGTTTGCTTTTGCCCCCCCTTTTTTTGCATTAAACAGCAAGTATTGTTTGGGAGCTGGTGTCATTTCTGGCCCTGTGCTGAGCCCTGATCACAGGGGTGTGTGGTTTTCTCCAGTCTCTCTGTGTGGGTTTGTAGCTAAGGAAATATCTTGTTCAATGCCTACTGAACTTCCATTTTCACCATTAACTTTTCATGATGATTCTATGAGTGTGGTGCTTACTTGCACATGGAGCAGAAAACTTACAAGCTTTATGGGAACCAATTAACAGCTACAGCTAGTAGTCGGCCCATCTTATTATCACAGGAGCAAGACATACTTGCAAAGGACAAGAAGAATAGAGCTGCTGAGAATGAGATAAAGCCTTTGGGAAGAGTCTTTTAAAAACATACTAAACACACTCATCCACCTAAAGTATCCTGAACAAATTAGATTTTAACTTTTATTTCTTTCCAAACCAAAACACACCAGCAGGACCTTTTCTTAAGAAAAAATTTCTCATGTTTTCTTTAGACTGATGCTCAAAAGACTAAACAGTAGCGGTTTTGTTACCTGACCACCATATGGTCAAGCTAATACAGGAAGGAAGAGATAAAATGATGCCTGAGACAAATTTAGGCTTTGACACTTTTTTTTAAAGGGGACTCTGATGGCTGAACAGTCAAAATTCATGTTGATAATACAAATACAAATAGAACTATCATTTCAATTTCATTTTGAAAATGTTCTATGATTATTAATCTAGTGACACGACTACTCTGGCAGAGAAAAATGCTCCCTACAACAGAGGGCACAGAGGTTTCTTTCACCAAAGAATAAATTTTACAGTATAGTATATACTTATTATATAATAATCAAGTATATTAAGATCGTATTTTAGGGGTGGGAGGTGGGAGAGAGGCTCAAGATGTAGGGGACATATGTATACTCATGGTCGATTCAAATGGCAGAAACCAACATAATACTGCAATTATCCTCCAATTAAAAATAAATCTAAAAAAGCACACTGTGACATGTATAAAGCTCTACTTTAGATTTAGGAAAGCTACATTACTATTAATGAATATTTGTAAGTCTCCTTTCTTTGCCTTTATTTTTAATTACATGATTTTACTAGCAATTAAAAAAAAAAAGGGCAAACATTTTGTTTTCCAAAGAATGAAAATCTGTCTTCCATAATATGTGATTAAAATTAAAAAAGAAAAATCTGACTAGGCAATTCCCTTAAATATTCCTTGATTAAAACATTTCTGAGTGAGTAGACAATTTTTTTTCTTTTTTGGTGGGGGTCGGGGGACAGGTGTTGATTTTTATTTCATTTATTTGAAGATATGATTTCTCATAAATCCTTACTATCCTGATGATAATATCCATCACCTGAAAATTGTATCCTGGCAAGCAGCAGCCAGTCACAGCAGTAAACAGAGATTACCGGGACTTGCAGGGTGCTGGCAGCTCCGCAGGACCGACCTGGCTCCGTCAGGCAATGCTGACTTTCCAAAGCACTGCAGGCAACGCTCTTGCTTATGTATCGGGCCCCATCCCCTCATTCGAACTGGAAGGTATGTGATTTGCTCCTCCTGATTTCTATTTGGCCCTGCCAACGGCACTACATAATAAAAACAGAGGCCAACGCTATGTGGGTCCTTCCAAACCAGCAGTTACACTGATGTCTGCCCACTTACAAAGCAGTAGAGTTAAATTCATAAGTGGAATGTAAACTTCCTAGAAAATACCCTTTGGTCTGAGATCACACTTGGGTGCTTTTTCTCTGGGGCAACGTGACCAGGGACTTTCCCCAGTCCTGGCTATTTTCTGAAAAAAGCACCCATTGCTTCATCACTGGGTACTTCTCCCTGTCCTTGGAGGCCATGAGCATGGAGCACACATGACTCCTCGAGGCATCAGCAGTAACTCTCCCACACACATCCACCAACTCCACGACCACAGACGCTGTTAAAACTTGATTTCTGTCTCACTTCCCTTCCTACAGCCTTAAAATCTTAAACGTAATTCCTTGGCATCCTTAATATATTTGTGTACTACTAAAAATCAAAGTCTGAAATTCTTCTTGGTATCTACCTTTTCTCATAAGGTACTCTGAACACAAACCTTACTTAGTCTGTACTTACTTGGGTTAAATTGTGACTACTGAGCCGGAAAGAGAAATAATTCCAGCCCATGTGGCCAAAGACGCAGCACCCAAGTGAAAAGAACACAGCCGGGCATCAGCTTACAGCCACTCCCATTCTTCCAAAATGTCACCCTGCCAGGGCCCTCAAAATAGACCTGTTGTTGTGCCTTATTTTAAAAATTAGAGACCTTCTTATTTAAATCCTGAGATTGACAGTGACAGAAATTTGTTCATGGCTAACAATCCAAGACATTAAGAAAACAAAAAGCCTAAAGCCACCAAAACTACTACTTTGGGCTTCTTAAATCCCTCAACTGGAAAAACAGATGATAAAAGGTTAAAAACCCTTTATCAGGAAAAATGGCCACTGTGTTTAAATGGCTCTTTCTCCAAAGCAACCTCTTTCCTTCTTCTGTTCGTTCATTTCTCTTCCTGCCCCACCCCCGCAACTCTTAACACATTACAGTAAAGCAGTTTTTCAAAACTCAGAAGGAACTGCAAAAACAATCGGACAATAAAAACAAAATAGTCTTCTTACCTATGAGAGGCTGGGGACGAGCATGGAGATAGGTCCTCTATCTCTGCTAACAGGTGGTGGTCTCAGTGTGAACTCAACTGACCTTGAACGATGTCAGGAGTCAAAACCTAGGCCGACTGCAGTTTAAGCCTCAGCCTCAACCCCCTGTAAGAAGTTCTATTCGGCTGGTCTCTTTCCACCGAACACCAGCGGCTTCTCTTTGCGCTCTCTGGACATGGTTACCCGCAGATGGAACCAGGCTGCTGCCGTGTGAGTAATCTGCTTGCTGCAGCTGCTTCACCGAGATAAGCAGATACAACGTCTGCCCTGTGACAGCGGTGCAGCAGACCAGGCTCGGGCGGAAATCCTGTATCCTAGGCCCTGCGCTGCGCGGGGTCCCCAGTTCCCAGACGGCTGGCTGCCCAAGAGCCACCGGCAAAGGAACAGGAGGCCAGCTCCCCGGGCAGGAAAAGTAGGGCGTTCCCTTCCCCCCAGGCTCCACCAATGACCTAATGCCACCATGTGGGATGCTAGGCCATCGGCTGAGAAAGATACTGCCAGCTGTTCTGAAACCACCCTGACTCTAGGTGTGCTCAGGACACAGACTAGGATGGTGGGCAAAGAAAGGGAGTCTCAGGTTTATAAATAAAACAGACTTTGTCAGCACTGTGTGTACGGTTCTCGAGAAAAAGGACTAAGACACATGACTCAAAACATCTGCTCTATCCCTTTATCATTTTGGAGCACCTGGGATCTCAGTACTGTTTTCCAGGTTAGGAAAGTTGCAGCTGCTCCAGTGGGACAGAGAGAGCATTTATAGGTTCTGAGCTATCAAGCCGGGGCTCTGGAATACAGGAAGCAAAATCTGTCCCAGTCTGACATGACGTGTCTCTCCGGATGGTGTTGACTGGTAGCCTGGCAACCGACCCAGTGAACACACGGCCTCTAAACAGCAGCGACACTTCTGTTTTTACCAGCACATCCCAGAGACTCTGAAGAGAATCTATCCCTCAGATGGGTGCTCTGTACTCCGTGTGGCTTACCTGTCTCTGGTGCACGTCCTTGGACAGGCAGAACCGTCTCTGGCTCCTCGCTTCCAGCAAAGCACTGCTCAAGGCTCCCAGAGGCTTCTCCGCCACCACTGCCCACCGGCAGGGTCTCCGCAGGCTGCAGGGCGCTCATCTCCCCAGTGGAAGCACGCGCTGTGGGCTCTGTCCCTGGGCCCGCCTCCGGAGGCCTGGGTGGTGACCTGTGCCCGAGGGCCCCCCCTGTCATCAGCACTCCAGAGGCCTTGACTTGCTCTATGACAGAATCCACGATGCGGCTGGCAGCCTCCTCGATGGAGTCGGCACCCTCGAGCCGATGCAGGGCTTTGGTGGAGATGGGGCAGGGCAGAGCGGGGGCACCCCTTGCCTCACCCGAGGGCCCCATCTCTGGGGGGCGCTCTCCACCTACAGGCTGTAGCGGGTCGTGATGCATCTTACTGTCCCCCTGGGCCTCCTGCGGGCCAACAGAGCCACAGTCTGCTTCCTCCAGATTCTTCTCCCCACCCGGAGGCGCCACCAGCTCTGGGGGCGCGGCGCCCTGAGGGTTAGTCACACCTGTGGCTGGTGAAGCTCCGGGCAAACCCAGGATCATATTCTCCTCTTGGCAGGACAAGGTGTCTGGGGCGTTGTGAGATATATCCTTTGTCCCAGCCCCGAGGGCTTCTTGTAGACCATGAACCCGGGCACCGTCCAGCACTGCATCTCCACTCACCTCACAGCCGGCGCTCTTTCCTGGAGATGGGGTGTTTTCTACCTCAGCATCCAGAACTGAAGAAGCTGGACTGCAGTTCGGTGCCTTGGGCCCACCTGCTAACAGATCTGGCGCCGGAGCTGAGCTGCTCGGCTCTGCACCTAGGGCATCCTGGCTGGAGTCAGCAGCCAGACCGGCTCCTGGTGGCACCAGGCCCTGTGCGGCCCCACCTCCCGTCGGCCGGGAGGCTGCCGGGGCCACTTCCTTGTTGGGTTTAGTTTCTGTGTGAAGACGGGCCAAGGGTGTGCCCGGGGAGCTGCCGGGCTGCAGCGCTCTGTTCTCTGTACAGGCTGCTGCGCCGGGCTCTTCAGGGACCCCCGGGGCCTCTGGTGCAGGAGGTGGTGGTCTGCTCTCTTCCCGCGATGCTCCTGAGCAGAGAGGGCCGTCCCCAGTGGCAGGACAGGTCCTGGCTTTACCCTCACCTCCTGGGCCCTCAGGAACCACCTGAGTTTTTCCTCCTTCAGTCGCAGCGGCCTGACCCCCAGGAAGCAGCGCGGAGGTGGTGGGCCCCTCGACGGCCGGGGCTTCGGAGGCCGCTGAGAGGGAGGGGCGCTCCTGCTCCCCAGCGAGTCCTCCGGGGCTGGCGTTCCCCATGCCGGGCGGCGGGTCTAGGACCACGGGGGGTGGGCCCAGGGCCGCCGCGCCGCCTTCTGGAGGCTGCTCCTCCGGACGTCTTGCGTCTCCGTCAGGCCCATCTTCTCCATCTGTGTGTGGTTGGAGGGCTGCTCTTCCCTTTTCACTCTGGGAGGGGACGAGCGAGAGTGCGTCATCTTTGGTTACTGATTCACTGCCGGGACTGCCTGCCAGAGAGACAGTCCCGCCTGGTGTCACAGCCGGGCCTGACGCCCCTTCTTTCTCAGCCTTGCGGGGAGCGGCCTGCGGGTGTGGAACCACCTCAGCTGGATCTGCTGACCATGTCTCCACTTTCAGAGCTTCTCCTTGGCTTTCTTTATCTGAAACTTGGAGAGAAGTATCCACACGTTCTGGGGTGTCTGGGGTGCTCTGGGTGGAGCTGGCCTGTGGGCCGCTGGGGCAGCTGGCAGTGGGCGGGGGCCGTGTGCCGAGCTGTCCCGTGGTCGTGCTCTCAGGCTGGGGGGCTGTGTCATCACAGTGTTCTGCAGGCGGCACGCCACTCGACACCCCAGTGCTCGGCTGACACTCAGAAGCTGAGCGAAGTTTATCACCCCCAGCTGCGGAGCAGACGGGTGACTCGCTGGTCTGGCTGTGAACACCAGATGACTCCACTTCTGATTTCGGGTTAGGCGTCACATCTTTGTGCGGCCCGGGCAAGGTTAGCTCAGAGGGCGACCCCGGCGCACACACGCTGGCCAAAGGAGTGTTGGGTTGGAGCCCTTCTGAAACCTCGTCGCCTGCAGTAGCTGGAATTAACTGAAGATTCTGGGTTCCTGGAGTGTGAGCACTCTCTTCACAGCTTTTAGAAGTTTCAGTTTCTGCAGTCTGGTCAATGACAGCTTTGCCATTACTAATGGCAAGTATCGATTCTGCAGGTTTGTTAGCATCCAGGGGACTGGCAGCCAAGACACTGTCTGGAAGGCTGGCTCCGTCCACAGGCTCGTCTGTGACTTTTCCGTCAGAGGCTCCAGCCGTGCTGACACTGGAGTCCTCAAGTCGTTTCTTCATACTCTCTTCCACCTCAGGCGTGTTCCCCCTGATGGTGGCATCAGGGTGCCCGAGACCATGCTCCCTTTCTCCTGCAGCCTCGGGGGTGCTGGCACTTGCTGGCGAAGCGACCACCAGCTTGCCTCCAGAGCAGGCCTGGGCCACAGCCCCCTGCAGGACACTGCCTGGGGACGCCAGGTCAGTGGCCCCTGCCAAAAACGTAGTTTCTTCGTCTCTGACTCCACAGGACGGAAGGCTTTCTGGGCCCTCTCCTCTGCCATCAGGCAGGCTCTGAACACAGCTGTCGGGAGCAGACGCCGCTCCAGGGTCTGTGGCAGGTGCTGGCCCCACCTCACCTCCTGTTCTCGCCACGCCCGTGCTCCTCTTCCTGCAGGAAGGGTCTGTGTCCTCCTCCGTGGCCACACCTGGCAAATCGCAAGAGCCCTCAGTCTGCCCCACGGTGCTCCCCCGGCAGCGCTGACAGCTCTCGGCAGCTCCAGGAGAGGCAAGCTGCAGGCTGGCTGTGTGCTCGGACGCGCGGGGAAGAAAGTGGCCATCTGCATCCTGGTCATGGGGGGCACCTGAAGGGTCCTGTGCTGTCACCGCCGAGGGCGTGGGACTGTCCATCTGCTTGAGGTTTGTTTTCTAGGAGGAAATAGAAGATGTTTTTTTAAAAAATTGACCATGAGAAAAGACATCACTGACATCTGTAAGCGAAAACTCTGTGGGAGAGAAGTCATTAGCATGTTAGCCCTTCTAAAGTCACGGGCTGAGCCAACCTAAGTAAGTGCCAGTGGACGCGCCCTCGGGCCTGAGCTGGGTCCTCTGACAGCTGCAGTCGCTAGGAAGATAAAGATGCCAAGAAAAGACAATATGGCTATTTTCTATATTATCGACTTATTTTAGAAAGGAGATTAAAACTGAGCATCAAAAACCTTCCTTTTATAGGGGTTTTAGAGCGGCAGAGGCAGCTTCCGTCCTGCCTCGTATATACAAGTGAAAACAAATCCTGACCAGTCTGGTAAACTCTCTTCAATCACAAGCAACAGACACATGCTCCCATGCCCTGAATTCTTACCTAGGAGTTACACAGCATGCTTCAATCTCCAAACTAGGCTCTGTTCAATCTAGGTTAGCTATTTCAGTTATGGGGCGATAATAATTTCAGAAGAGTGGCATGATTCAATTCTTCCCTTGACTGATAAAAAGAGTTCCTCTACTAATGAATATTAAACAAACAACATATCAAACGAGCGACAGGGAATTCTTTGTTATTCTCAGGTGGTACCGTGGTTTGAGGATATTTTATAGGTCATCTCAGAAACAGGTCTTTGCAACTTGAGAAACAGACGTGAACAACTATATAGGAATAAGGTTAGAACGATCGCCATTAATAACTTGGTGGAGGACACTATGCTGTCATATATTCCAAACGTTAACAGTGAAGACCACAGTGAAATCAGAAAAAGGTATTTATATTGTTTTAGAAAATAAAACAGTTAATCTAAAGTTAAAATTATGTAAAAACCACAAGCACATGTTAGACGAAGCTTAGTGAAAAAATGGAGAGAAATAAAACACGTCTGATCATTAAGAGTGGGTCTACCTCTGTATCAAAGTTTCAGGAACCCTTATAATGACACTGTTTTTTTAATCACATGGTTTTCTTTCCTTATTTATTTTTCGGCCACACTGCACAGCCTACGGGATTCCTGGCTTCCTGACCACAGACTGAAGCTGGGCCACAGCCGAGAAAGCCTGAAATCCTGACCACCCAGCCACCAGAGAACTCGCAGAGCTGTTTTTTCAAAAGCCTGGCTCACTCTTCACTCATCATTCGCTCTGTTACAATACTCCCGTGCACACACCGTGAGCCGCCGCCTCACTCCTACACCCACTCGGCCCCTGTGCCTCCAGCCCTCGACCATCAGCCTACTCCTGTCTACACGCTGGGTCTCCTGTGAAAGGTCACACGTGGAAGTGTAAAACACGTCAAGCTCACCCAGGTCCTTCTAGTAAGACAGTACAAGAATAACAGATTTTCACTGAACTCTGCCGTGCTATGCTTCTTTAAGAGAGCTCAAAATCGGTTGCTTCCTTCCTCCTGAGATGGTGACCAACTCCAAAGAATTATGAAAACAGGTCACTGAATTTAACAAAGGGTGAACATGACAGAATGGGGATTTGGAGGAAAAAAGTGGTATGGCTTGAAAATGCTCCTAATACATGCATCTTCTCATAGTTAGATGCTTCTCATTGTTAGATGCTCCTAACACATGCATCTTCTCATGGTTTTAATTTCTCATGGTTTCCAGGAAACTATTCCCACACCTTGTGGGTAGCTTTGGCATCTGCAAACTGCTGTTTCTGAATGGACTACCATTCACCCAGTAAGAAGAGGTCTAAAGAAAATCTGACTTTTCAGCCATCTCCAGAGGAAAATAAAATGACACCTAGTTTGGAATAAACACAACCTGGAGAGGCAGAGACAAGTGCGTCTACAACCCTGCTATGAAGTGTCCTGGCCCGCCGGTCTCTGAAATAAGGGCTGCTCCCAGGGAAGACTCTGGCAGTGAGCTGACCCCAGATGACCTTAAATGAAATTACTGCCAAGAGTTTTCCAAATCAAATCAACTCTGAAATAAAATGGGTGGAAAAATCATCTAAACTTAGCCTTTTAGATGTTACGGCCAAGAGAGATGTATCCACATGACGTGTATATTATCCATAATAAATGCCACCAGGGAGTCTGTAATGTTTTTATGTCTGGCAACAACTTTATCTTGAAGGCTTGAGTGGATTATAAAAATCTTTATTTTTTTTAGTGATCTTTTTACCGCACATCAATTTAAATATAGCAACATGGTCATCACTCATTGAAAGAGTTGAGGAAAGACTGTTTCTTAGTAAATTTGGTTCCTGTTCTTTAGCAACCATCTCATAAACAGTTTAGCTCATTTTGTTTTATAAAGTTAAACCAACAAATTTATAGTGTTAAACAAATTTCCTTTTAAGCCAGAAAATTTTAGCTCTAGTTGTTGCATAGTTCTCTGTCAGCAATGTATACGTGTATCTTTCATTATTTTAAAGGCCTGGCAAAAACCAATGAAGAATTTTCCCAGTCTCCTCTTATTACTACCCCAGTGCTAAGCTCTATCTCTATAAGTGCTGACACTGAACGCAGCTAAAACCGCTCCACAGGCTTCACAATCTCTGAGGGAAGCACGGCTACGTTCTAATTATGGCAAAGCTCACTGGGGGAAGGGGTGAGGGTACGAAAGACTGAAAATGGAAATTTTCTTCCTTACCATTAGCTGCTGTTGAATGTTCATAAGTTTAAAAATATGTCCAGTGCAACTGTCTCCAGGAAGTGGGGGCTCCTGGTGTGGCTCCGACTCGGAGGTTAGCATATAGACGTCCAACTCTCGGTGATGCCTCACAGAACAGTCTCCGTAAGGGATTTCATAGGACAAACTGCTCCAGGAGTCTGGTTCTCCAGCATCCTCCCTGGAAAGAAGCGAACGCTGGTTAAGGTACACATAAGGCATGTGTGTGCTCAGTTGCTCAGTTGTGTCTGAGTCTTTGCAACCCCATGGAATGCAGCCTGCCAGGCTCCTCTGTCCATGGAATTCGCCAGGCGAGAATACTGGAGTGGTTGCCCTTTTCTTCTCCAGGGGATCTTCTTGACCCAGGGATTGAACTTGCATCTCTTAGGTCTCCTGCACTGGCAGGCGGGTTCTTCACTATTAGCACCATGTGGCAAATTCCAATACATATGTATATTCTCTATGTAATACATGTGAATACACTGTAATATATGTGTTAATATATAAAAACATAGTAATATAATATACATATATAGTCAGCCTCTCAGGCATAGGTTAAATTCCCTAACTCTTATGTAAAATTTCTAACCTCACTGCTCTTTGAGGCTCTGCTCCAGAAAGTTGGTTTGCACAGTTCCCAGGTAACTTGGACATGTAACTTCACAAGAGGTCACAAATGGGCTAAATGGAAACTGCCGGATTCCTTCCTAAGGATGTTCTCTGATCAAGATAAAGAGAAGACTGGGATCCTAAGAGAGTTAATATTATGCTCACAAACAATGAGGAAATGTAAGGAGAATGCTTTTGCTCTGGTTTCCAAAAAAAGAAAAAAAGCAAGTCTTCCAAAGCGTTTGTCTTAAAACGGGTTATAGCATATGCTTATTGCAGCCAATTTTACTGAGAAGGGAAGAAATTAATCACTCCAATCTATGCAAGGTCAGTCCAATTTTTGTTAAAAACAAGTGGGGGTGTATCCTCAAAATTCTCAAAGTCAAAACTATATAGAGAAAAATACTATAATGTCTTATCATACTATACTTGTCAATGTAATTATAAAATCCTAGTTTGAATCAAGCACTTGGTCCCAATAACTTAAAATTATAACTTTTTAAATTTAAAAGATGACCAACTCAGCTCAACTCACATCATTGCAGATACACCTCATATTCAAATAAAGTGGAAAAAGGCATAGGTAAGAAAAAAAGCATTTCTGAGTCAGACCTCGAAACATGAAATCTCTTTACATGGTTCTAATAAACCAGCATGTTGACAAAGTGTCCCTGAGATTCTGGAAGAAGGCAGAAAGTGGTGTTGGGGATCACTATCACATTTTAAAAAGGAAGAAATGAAAGAATTCAGACATAACAGACACGTCATCTACTAACAAATATGAGAGGGAAACAATACTTCAACTCTCAACCCAGTGTTTCATCCACTAAATCACACCTGTCTATCCTTAACAACTCACCAGGGAATACATGGACTTTGAAAACTAAAAATATGCTATAGTAGAAAATCTATAGCAAACTGGAGAGCCACATACTGGCTGAAGGTGACAATTAAGGCTGTCCCAGAAGAAAACTATTACAATTTCCATACTCAAGCAAGACTCCCAACAGTTGCTTAAAATATGCCATGCTAAATATCTCACATATTTACCAAGTAAGAGTGTGAGTCACTCAGTCGTGTCCAACTCTCTGAGACTCCAAGGACTGTAGCCTGCAAGGCTCCTCTGTCCGTGCGATCTTCCAGGTAATACTACTGAGGTGGGTGGCCATGCCCTCCTCCAGGGGAATCTGCCCAATCCAGGGATCAAACCTGTGTCTCTTAGGTCTCCTGCATTGGCAGGCAGGTTCCTCACCACTGCGCCACCTGGGCCGAGGTGACACTGTCACTAGCTCTGCTTAATTCAGACATGACTGCCCTATCTGCTTACTCAGATTACCACATACAACCTTGCTCCAACCAGGAAAAAAAAATTCTTTGATAACACGACTTAACTTATATAGTACCATACGGTATGAATCAAATATACAGCAAGCAAGAGGGGGCTGCCGGCCAAGGCAGAGGCAATTAAACAGTGATACAGTCCATTCCTGGCAAAATGGCATTTTCTACCAACCATGTCACTGTTAATTCTCAAAACTACTTCTTTTGTAGTATGGAAACCTTGGGAAATTCCCTGCTGGAACCACAATCTGCTTACCTCCTACCTCTCCCACGCTCTCCTGCCAGAGGAATGCGTGCCTGCTGCCACAAGCGCTAACCCTACAATCTCCCAATTCATCAGCCACGTGGAGTGCTGTTGCTTCCGAGCCCACCTGGAAACCAAGTACTAGTTAGTGCAATTATCCTCCCGCTGGCTTCCATGAATATACGCTGCTATGGACACTGTTCAAACCCACCACCCAGCAAGTATTTACGTGCCAGTATTCTTTGTGCCTGTGAACCGACCCCAAATCCTTGTCCTGTGGGAGTTTGTGGACTTAGCAAGGGATATAAGAGCAATCGAGATAAAATACCCAGTGTTCTGGAGACAGCAGGGGTGGTGGAAGAAATGAAGCAGAGATGAGGTTTGCAGTTTTAAATGTGGTGGGTCAGGGAAACCTCAATGAAGTGACACTGAGGCCAATACATTTTCTGCTCTGCATTCAGCACTGAAGCCTTTACTGGATCCGCAAATAAAGCCTGGCAAGGCCCCATGAGGGTGTGCTACATCAAGGACAACTGTTACTAAGGACTGGACGCAACCTAAGCAAGTCAGTAACTAGAGGGCTATCTGGCTAATTAAGGAGCAGATCTACAGAGTGTTACTTTCGTGCATTCTTACAAGTGAGTCATTCAGTTGCATCCAACTCTTTGCGACCCCACAGACTCAGCCCATTGGGCTCCTCTGTCCACGGAATTTTCCAGGCAAGAATAGTTGGGTAGCCATTTCCTACTCCAGGGGATCTTCCCAACCCAGGGATCAAATCCGCGTCTCCTGCATTGGCAGGTGGATTCTTTGTACCACTGAGCCACCAGGGAAGCCCTGCAGACTATTCTGTAGCCATTAAATGTAACTGAAATAACAGTTCAGTAACGCTGCAATCTATATCCAGCAAAATGAAAAAGGCAAAAAGCATTAAGTATAAACAGTAAAGTGCACAAATTAAAATAGTGTTACAGTGGTTGGGTTATAGGTTTATTTCTTCTCGGGGATTTTTGTTTTACTTTTTCTTTCTTTTTTATTTTTGGCTGCGCTGGGTCTTTGCTGCTTTTGCATGGGCTTCCTGTAGTTGCGGTGTACAGGTTTCTCACAGTGGTGGCATCTCCCGTTGCAGAGCACGGGCTCTAGACACAAAAAGGACTTCAGCAGTTAGGGTCCCCGGGCTCCATGGCACCGGCTCAGCAGCTATGGCATGCGGGCTCAGTTGCTCTGTGGCCTGTGGGATCTTCCCAGACTAGGAACTGAACTTGTGCCTCCTGCCCTGGCATGCGGATTCTTATCCAATGAGTCACCAGGAAAGCACTCTTCTCTAAGATTTTAATTAATGTCTTAAATAATTTTTTAAAGTCCCTATTCAGCCAGGCCTCGCTGCTGCTCCGGACCGCTTTTTACTCTTGTGTGTTAATCCGTCCCCACAGAGGTTACCAAAATGTTCTCTAATTCCCTCAAAGACCCAACATTGACCTCATCCACTTCACCCTCAGGTGATCTTTTCTTTCTTCAAAGAGAGAAGTTCAAGGGCATGAACCAACATGAATTAAGTCCACCTCTGCCCACCATTAAACATGTCTGCCCGGCTCCTCTAACTTCAGGGCACCTCTCTGAACAGTGGGTTTGCCCTGTTCCCCTATCAACCGCCCTCAGGTAACCAATTCAGTCATCAGCCCTGGATGCCTATAGCTTCCCACCTGTTTCTGGAGCAGTTCCTTCCCCACCTGTCTACAAGGACCATGAACACCCCAGCAGATGACAGAAGGGGAGAAGTGTATGGGTGCCAGCAGCAATCTTGACTCAACCCTGCAGACCAGCCCCCAGGGGACATCTGAGAATGTCTGCAGGCATTTTTCACTGTCACACGTGGGGGCGGGGTGGCTGTCCTCCAAGGCATAGGACGGCACCCTACCATACAACAAACAGTCATCAGGCCCCAAGCCATCAGTAGTGCTGGCGCTGAGAAATCCCTGCTGTAAGCCCCTGATCCGCATACAACGCCCCCCTAGGCCTTCCCTTCTGCCCCCCACTGGCTGTTTAAACAACTAAAGGCTTTGCCATTTGGAGCCTACGCTCTCCCTTGGCTGCTTGCCTGGAAGCACAGTGGTAACGAATCCACCTGCCAAGTGCAGAAGATGCTGGTTCGATCCCTGAGTGGGGAAGATCCACTAGAGAAGTGGCAACCCACTTCAATATTCCTGCCTGGAAAATTCCATGGGCAGAGGAGCCTGGTGGGCTAACAGTCTATGGAGTTGCAAAAAAGCCTGGCATGACTTATTAGAGACCAGTGTCTCTCCTGTGGCTGCTAAGACTTCCTGTCATGGGTTTCCATTGACAAAATAAACCCCCAAGTCCAGCGGCTTTTTTACCCACTGAATTTGAGTTTCGTAGAATCTAAAAATGGTGACCTGATTCTTCTTTGAAAAACTTTTTCTCACTTGATGCCCTTAAGAACCCTTCTATTCATCCACTGTTTTCTCTGGCTTTTTCTTCCTCTTCTCACACCTTAGTTGAACACATGTCAACTTCCTGAACTTGGGCTTCTACTAAATGGCAGGCACTTTGCTAGACGCCAGGGCTACCAGGATAAGCATGATACCTTTCTCAAGGACAAACAAACACCGTTCTAAGGTCAAACATGGGATTCCTGTCTGGTGACCACAATGTGGCTTACTGCTGTTACTGCCACCTCCGTGGAAACAAAAAGCAGAAAGAATCTCATGGGGGTTTTACCCCTGTGTGGCATATTATGCACTAAATATATTTCATTGACATTACAATGCTGTTACTTGCAATAATAACATCATTTTTACATATTACTAAGGAGGAAAATAATGGTTTTGAGTTAAATTATGACACAAGCTAGAAAAATATGTATCTTAACAGATATAACAGAGTACAAACACAGTCAACTGTGTCTCTAAATACTGGCAGGGGTGGTACAAACAGTTCAAGTAAACAAACGGTCCCAACATCATCTGGTTAACTTCACATGGACACTGGCCTGTGAGCCCCTAGTCTTCAACACATGGGCAGCAGATACACGTGAAACAGTCCAGCTCCGAGGCTTGAGAAGAATTGCAACAAAAGTCACCGAGACACTAGTCTTCCCACTTTCACGGAGTTGAAGAGTTTCAAACAAAAACATATGCAGAAACGGAGCTGCCCTTGTGATGGGGCCGAGAGAGAGCGGGAAAGGCCACCTCTCCTGCCGAGGGGGGCTGGAGGCTCCCTCCTCACGCTCGCAGTTCCCGAAGGACAGGCTTTCTTTATGCACAACCGCCCCTCCCAGTTTACGTTCACTTTCCTTGTTCCTGAGTAACCTCTCCCCGTTCTCCTGATTAGAAGCTCTCTGTCTACTTGATCCTTGGCTTGCACTGACATTTCGGCCACGGAGAGAGAGGTGGTGGGTGTGCGGGTGGGGGTGTGCATGTGTGTGTGTCTGTGTTTCTCTGCAAACCCATGGACTGCAGCCCGCCACACTCCTCCGGCCATAGCCTTTTCCAGCATGAATACTGAAGTGGGTTGCCATTTCCTTCTCCAGGCGGACCTTCCTGATCCAGGGACCAAACCCGAGTCTGCTTCGTCTCCTGTGCTGGTGGGTGGGTTTCTGCAGCACTGAGTCAGTCACCTGGCCCTTGGCCTTGTATTTCTGCCGTGAAGAAGGATATGCCAGGGTATCTAAAATTTACCTTAGAAACACACACTAAGATGTTATGTCATCAAGTCTGGCAGGACAGAGAAGCACACCCACAAATTCACTAGAATTTCTGGTTATTTCAGCTGGTGGATTAAGAGGCACCAGAGCCTCAGATGAGGCTTTGAAAAGAGAAATAAACAACTAAAAACGAGAGAAAGAAGATCTGTAGATGAAGGCGTGTAAACGCTGCAGGGGGAGGGGAGTGCTACGGATCTCCATAACCTTTCTTTTCTCACCCCACGAGGACACCACCACCGCGAGCCAAGGAAAGGGTGCTTTTACTGCCAGCGGCGTCAGCAGCGCAGTAGAGGTGTTACTTCCTTACGACAGCATCGCAGGGCACCGCGGGTCTTGGAGAACCTCTCGTTTGGTCACACTCAACCACGCCCCAGAACAGACTTGAGGATATAAAGGACTGGCGTTGTGAATATGGGAAACTTTCAAGCATCATGTTAATATACTGTTTTCAAACCATTCTTGGGCACCCTGAATTTTATCTGGAGAAACTCCTAGAGTGGTCTCCTACCTCTAAGATCTGACAGACCTCTTGTGTCGTCCTGCAACTTCTCCACTCCTTGCAACCCCTAAGGAGGGCCAGGGCCTCCCATCTTCTGACCGGCCGGGTCGCACCGCCCTGTTCCATCTCCCGAGCAAATGGTTTGGGATCACTAAGAACGCACTCTCTCTGAAGGGATGGATAAATCAATGCTTCAAAGGATAAAATGCTATGTATCTATTGGCGTGTGCATGCTAAGTCGCTTCAGTCATGCAGCTAAGTCGCTGCAGCCTGCCAGGCTCCTCTGTCCGTAGGAGTTCCCAGGCAAGAATCCTGGACTGGGTGGCTGTGCCATCTTCCAGGGGATCTTCTCGATTCAGGGATCAAACCCACATCTGCACTGGCAGGCGGATTCTTTACTACTGAGCTACCTGGGAAGCCCCAGCATGCATGTGTTAAGTACTCATTAAATATCGGATTCTATTTTCTTCCATGAGCAATGGGTATAATCATAATCACTC